TTAGCGATAATTTTTGACAAAAGAGGTCAACCTTAAGACACATTTAAGCATCAACCCTCTATCAGAACATCAGAAAATGTTGAGCAGTCAGTTGAATGGGTATAAATAATATAGCAGTAAGATATGGCTAGCAGTCAAACTAACAAAAAATATTAGAGAAGAAAGGCAGAGCTATCCATACCAGGTAAAACACAAATAGAAAGACTTCATCAATGACAAACTCTCAACATAGCACAGAAAAAAATATTTCAAGTTCAAGGTAGTTTTAAATATCATACCTATTTGGCCACGTTTGAAATTAACGAAGTCACAGTGAACCTCTTCACCAACGTCATCACCTTCAAGTTTTTCCTTCCTTTCCATATCATAGTTTGGTAATATTATGAGGTCATCTACCCCACATGTAAACCCGTGAATCTGAGGCATTTATAAAACCAGCATAAGGTTTGAGCAATCAGGTTTTAAAACGTACATTACAAAACTGAAACTACAAAGACGGTAAAAATCACCTGCAAAAAGATTGTGAATAGACGACTTAAAGCAGAAAGAAAAATGCCTGCACAGTTGGACCCATAGAGCTCCTGTACTGTGTGTACCAAACCAAATTTTCCAAACTGAGCCTTGTCAATCACACCACGCACGAGTTCATTTTTCCAAATTAACAACTTATGTTCAGCATTCTGATCTCTGTCTTCTTCCTCTTCATTTTTGTAGGTACTATCAGTAAAATAATCCTTTGGAAGTTTCCCCTGATTTTTAACAGTACAGGGTGCACAACCTTGTGTTATTTGGTTCAATAGCGCTGTGATGACCTAGCAAGAAAGGTGCAAAAATTGTGTCTCAATTTTAGATTCTCAAAACTACCGTCGAATTTTGTGATCCACACTTGAAAGTCTGATTTTATCAGGCATATTAAGAATTATGTCAGCTTAAAAATTTTAACCTGTTTCCCTGTCCAAAGAGGTCCTGGTCTCCACACTGCAGGCAAGACAGACAGCATCACCATGCCTTCAGAATCTACTAAAGAAACCTTCTGGGAATTATCGCCTAGATGTGAACCAGGCATCATTGAAAACACACCAGACCCATAAAGAAGCTGGTTGAACTCGTCACGAGTTAGAAATGTGTCCTTCATTGTAAGAAGCACAGCGCTTACAATATGATCCTGGAGTTGAGTTAGAAATACAGTGGTAAATATACCGTGTGGACACATGAGAAAAAAAAAAAAAGAAATTTCTGGAGAAAAATATTATGGGAACTTGATAATTGATGAGTACTGACACCTGAATCAAGCCTCTGACAGTATCACCCCTTGTTGGAACAATGTACTGTTCATTAGCATTTACAATGTTGTAAGCTTCAGCCCGAGAAATTTCATCTTGAGGGAAATGGACATTAATTTCATCACCATCGAAATCAGCATTATAGGAGCTGAAGCCAATTTAAAAAAAAAAAAAAGCCATTATCAGTCTTGGCAAATCGAGTACAATAAAAATAAATAAATAAATCAGCAAATAAACCAACCTGCAATTTGCATAATGCATGCGAAGTGTTTTCTCTCCCTTCAATACTCGAACAACATGTGCCATTATACTTGGCTTGTGAAGTGTAGGCTGACATTAAAAATAAAGCAAGCTAAACAGTCCTCTCAAAACTGTATAATTACTTCATTGAACTAAAGAAAAAAATGAGTATGCTTACTAATAAGCAAGTACAGCACAGACCTTAAAAGAATAGAATGAAACACATCATACAAGAAGAAACTTCCACGAGTAAGTGAAGAGGATTCCAAAAGATATGTACGAGTGTTCATTTATAAATAAAAACTCAAGACCACATAGTTCAAATATTTCAATTTCATGGAAATGGGATCAAAGTACTTCCAATTCATTCTTTTGCCACACAAATAGGAGCCTCCTTCAAATCATATAATTGCATGGACTGCCAGTATATTTATTCATCATATATTAGAGGCATAACTAAAACTAATCGAACTAAGAGAAAGACATTTGACTGTAGGAATGAGAGAAAGTGAGTGTTAATTATTTTATTTGAAGGCCAAATGTCAAACTGCTAAGAGTCAAAAGCCTCTCCTAAAATATCATGCCAAGTCAATAAAGGGCCACTCAATTTAAGGAAATTGAATAAGTTGTAAATGGGGATTGATTTATCCATTTGGGTCAAGGAAAATCAGAGGAGCATGTCACCTATATCTAAAGGTGATCAAAGTGTGTAAGAAGTTCCCAGATTTTTTAGGGTAGATCTCCAACCTTACATCGTGAATGCGTCTGTTAGCAGACGAAGAGAAACATATCTCAATTTCTTGGTGCCTTTGTGGAAAGTGCAGGCTTTTACAGACATTATCGCACTTAAAGCAATGTATAAATTGTTGGTTGATATGGAACAATTCCCAATACCTGCCGATTAACGAGCACAATATCCCCATCCTGCAAGTGGCGATACACGATCTTGCCCTCAAATTCATACTCATTCTTCTTCCCTGATTGTGTAACTACCCCTCTTGAGGAAGGTAATTTTCTAGATATTGCTGTTCGCAGCTTTTTGTTGGATGGCAATTTCACAGTAGAAACTTTATCAACATAAGTTGTAGCTCCAGGATGGGTATCTGGCCCATTAATGATGGCATTCCTCAATTTAACGCTGTTCCAAGGAGTTACTCTCTGCAAGATATTATGCAAGAAAGTTGGGAAAAAGTGATAATAAATTAATTTGTTCCCGAACAAGGCAATGTCGAACAAAAACGATACAAGATGTTTCTAAGCAATAAATTATTCAAATAGCATCCCCTGAAAAGGATGGTTCCTTTATTCTTTCTATGTGATCCTTGTGGTGCTTTTGGGTTTCATGAGACGCGGCTGGTGGCAAAGATATGTCCAGAAAATCATGTAAACTTTATAACATTGCCTAAAAGTAACTAAATTATTAAAGAATAATTATAAGGCTCAAAACTTCTCCTTGCTGCAAAAAGAAAGAAACATAAAAATGCGATAGACTAGAAACATTTACATAATATGAAACTTAAGTGTTAAGACACCGACCAAATTTAACATAAAGATGCATGTTGACAAATTAAAAGTAGCATGATTGGAATTTTAATTTAGACTGAACAGCCCAACCTCTTTTACTTTTCCCTCACTCGTGATTACTTCCAGGGATACACAGCAAGGACCAATTTGCTCACATTTGAGTCATTTGATGGCCCCTGATGTGCAATAGGGAATCAATTGGTAACTGACATCATATACAGATTTACTCACGCAACTTTTGACCTCTGTGAAACTAATCTTAGTAGTTTGGAGTTCTTACTAAGAGGAAAACAACAGAGATACCCATGGGCAACCCCTGACACCATAACCCAAGGTTTTTAATTGGAAGCTCTTGAAGAAAGTGTCCTGGAACCATGAATCAGAACTTGTTTCCACTAGAAAAGTCTTGTTATGCATCTAAAGATTTAAGACAATGGCCCTATACAAATATGAGGCCACATATTTTAGGTTTGAAATTGTTGAAATAATAGGCTTATTGCATGGGATACTTTTAAGTACTTACATATGATTACAATATTTTTCCCATGCTAATGCTTCATGCCATATGAGGTTTTAGAAGAACGAGGGGGCAGGCTACAGTTTCAACAAGGCTTTTTTTTATTCCCCTTTCCCCTACTGTACTTCCTTTTTCTGGGAGATGACCAACCAACCCGCTTTTCTCTGCTGAGTACAATCTGTGAGCCCCAGATTCCTGACACTTTGACACTTCTACATATAGGACAGATATCTCGAAAGTATGCAACATTAAATGACCAACCAGCACATATAAAATGGGGATAATTCCATTGTCATGCAAAACCATAGTGCAAACTAAGGATGAGGTTCTAGTCCTATGCATCTGTTAAGGACGAGGAGATTTTTACACAAGGCATGAATTATTAAGGGATACTAAAAAATAATGCAAAAAGATATCATCAATCCTATACCTCAGGATAGGTTAACCTCAATGCAAAGTATGGAGGAACTCCAATCTCATTGACTGCCAAATAAGGATCTGGAGATATAACTGATCGGCAAGCAAAATTAACCCTTTTTCCCATCATTTTCTGACGGAAAATACCCTCTTTCTTTTCCAGCAACTGACAAATTCCAGAAGTGATATCTTTTTTACCCGGACCTGCCATTATGTTGTAGAGAAAGAAGCTTTCAAAGCTACACAAAATGATTAATTTGGACAAGTGAAAAGAACAGAACCAAAAGTAATCGTTCAATTGTCAAACAAGAAAATTGGAGTTGTGTGTGAAGTGGGCAGAGGACTTGAACCAATTAGTCTTCTCAATCCATAGAGGAAAGGTGGCTGGCACTGCTGGTATAATGATATTCTCAAAATAAACTTTAGTCACTGATCTCTGCTTTTGTTTCTCAAATGAATACTTAACATACAGCTATACACCAATTTTTGGGAAAGCACACCCGTGCCAAGGCTCAAGACCACAAAAAGACTAAACAAGTGGAAGAGAAGTCTAATACTAGTAGCAGGGCAAATTGTGTTACCAATGGCATGTTGTCTTTCGCTCGAAATATTGGGTCATTGTAAGTGAAAATAATTCTTAAAGAGACACTTTTGCAGCAAAATAAGCTAAACCCTTAAATCACTGAAATTTGTGATTGAACTAGAGGCAGGCCATGGTTAAACACTAGATTATGATTTATGAAGTAGTTATGATAGGATTAACCTGTGTGTATCACAAGTAAAAGAACACAAGCACAGAAGCATATGAGAGCAGGCACACTCACTTACATTACCCTGAAAAATAGACTTACAGGAGGCCTTAAATCAAAAAAGAATACAAGCACTCCGAACCAAAAAAAATCGCCAACAAAACAATTAGTAACTATACGTATTTCAATTATGAACAACTGAAATTTCAATCCCACAAAAAAAAAATCAGGATACATCTCCATCTTTCATGCCTTCTCTATATTGCTAGATTTTCCAAAATGCACATGAATTCATTTGACGTTTCTGGAACAATTAATTCAGCCTAAAATATCCCAAAATCTTCCAATTGTCAAAATTAGCGCACTCCTGCACCAGCAACGTTATACATGATAAACTAGAATATCCTTTTAGTCGCAATAGGAATAAGGACGATGAAGTCATAATAGAGGTTCATATAGATGACTCGAACAAATTGGTGAAAAGAAGATTCATGTGGCTCTAAAGTTCATTAGAAATAAGGTTTAAATGGTCATAAATAAAAGATTGTTAACCATCATATAGAAAGAAAAGGGAGAAAATCAATTGTATTAGATATTTCACCACCTTCCTCATCCAATTGTCATATTTTAAGATCCAGAGAGAGGAAGCGATAAAAATTAAACGAATTTTATTTTTAAGGAATTCGAATAAAATAGGATATAGTAAGCATGGTTTAAAAATGCGGTAGTAAGGCGCATGTAGTATGCCTCGAGGTGATATTTTTTAGGCTAAAAATATGAGGCTCGCGCCTCATGGAGCATGACGCGTGCACCTCATTTAAAATTGTATTTTTCAATTGTATGAAAAGAAATCAGAAAAGGCCCTTCTTAAAAAAGAAAATGACCTATTTAAAAAGGCATTTTGCGCCCAAACAAAACAATAAAATACCTAAAAAACTAAATGGCAGCCTGAAATCAAAGGACCAAAAAGGAATAGATTCAACAGCAATTCAAAAGTCCGAATTCAAGAAGAGTATCATCTTCTTCAACAGTTCATTTTTCCTCTTTTCTTTTTCTTCTTCTTAGGTTCAGTAAATCTTGCATGCAATTAGTTGCTTCATACACATCTAGAAATTATAAATTTTATAAATGTTTAGATTTATATAATTAACACACAAGATTTCATTCAATCACTTGTATTAAACTCTAAAACTCACGTATCCATACTTCTTCATCTGCAACATCTCATCAATATCCCCACATCATTGTCAAATCTTCATGCAACAGTACACTATAGAAATTGAGAGTAGCGAAGAGGAAGATGATGTGAAAATTCTTTTACTTAGATTTTTTGCCACATCATTGTCAAATCTTCATGCAACAGTACACTATAGAAATTGAGAGTAGTGAAAAGGAAGATGATGGGAAAATTCTTTTACTTAGATTTTTTGTTTTTTGTGAGGCTTACGCCTCAATCCACCTTAAGGCTTACGCCTCGCCTCATAAAGAAAAACCGCTTCAGTACTTAGTTTCGCATTTTTAAACATTGATAGTAAGATAGCCCAAACTCCAAGATGCATTCACTTTCCAATACAAGGATATACATTATATTCTTGTTTAATAGAATTGCCTTCTAAATAACAACTACTTATCCTTTGTATTAACCAAAATGGATATTTCAATTAAGAGTTAAGTCTTCACACTTGTAATAAGAATAGGGAAGTTGCACATAATAAGAGATAAATCTGTTAACGTGGTCATAGAAAAATGTAAATAACCACAAAAAATGAAGGCCAGAAAAGTAAAATTACCAGTGGCAGTTTTGCTATCATATAATACGTTTATAGATTGTTGAAGATCCATCCAGCGATTAATGATCTTTGTGCGCTCAGCACTATTAACATGAGCATTTCCTAAAGCTATATTGGATTGCAGCACTTTCCCCAATAAAAGAGTATGAGGATGCTCCATTACCTGAAGAAAACATCACACTGTCAGTAATGTCATACACAGAGCATAAATGGGCAGAACAAAAATTATTACAGTATGCCGATAACAAACAGAACGTGGATGTAAATAACCTGGATTTTCCCAGTTCCACCACCAAAACGGAAATATCATTTAAAAGTTAAGTCTTCCCTCCTATAGTGTGCTGCGGTTCATGAGACTACTAAAAATAAAAGAAAGTTCTAGTGTCTGTGGTACAAACATTTCCTCATAATAAAGAATATCTCGTATGTTACAATTCAACAATAAGACAAAAAAAAGTAGCACGGATGCAGGTAATTAAAACACAGATCATAAGATATTTTCAGGACTTACAGAATCGCCACCTTTGGCTGGAGGTCGGAATTTGATTGGGGGTACAAGAACACTCTCTAGGAAAAACATAGAGTGGCCAGTTACTTTGCCAGATTCATCATGTTGTTGCTGCTGCTGAATATCACAAATATATGAGCAGATAGGAGATTCATTCTCCCACAAGCGCTTCACAATATCTCTAACCTGCCAATTAAGAGAAATAAAGACTTCGGTTAACAAACATCACAAAGGACAAAATTATATGACTAAATGAGAAAAAAATAAAAATAAATCAATAACAGATGTTCAAAATTGATGATGAAGTCAGCCACCTCTGATGGTAAGAGAGGTCCTAAAAAAGAACGTTTTTCTAATTCCTGACTGAAGTTTCTTGCTTGATGCATGGATTTTTTCTTGGACAGTTCAGTGCTATCAGAGGCAACAGATGAATTGGCTTCAGCAGTCTCAGAATCATCCTTCCATGAACAATCACTAGCATTTACCACCTCCAAGGAAGGGTTATCCTCAACTCCTCCAGTCCTTGACACACCCAACCTGCCGCGTCGAGCAGCATTTGACCGAGTCTGATTTCCAGATAGTCCACTCTGCAGAAAATAATGTAAATGGAAACTAAGGAACCATTGGAACTTCAAGAAAATATTTACTTTGTGGAAAACTACAGAAGTTGCGTAACTCAATTTGTTTGTTAGAGATCTGATAAATAAATAAATGCCAATGGTTACGAAGAATTGTCAGGGCAGAAAAATCATTAATCCCACAATTACTACATAATTTTTAGTAGTTTATTTGTAAGAGATATTGATGCTTGCTAATAAAATACTTTGAACAAACTGCGTAAGCAGCAAATGCAAAACAACAGCATGATACAGGTGAAACTCTCAAGGAAGGAAATAAGACAACCATGATAATACGCTCTTTTCTACCCATCTCGGATACAGCATAATAGAAAGTTCCGGTGACGGTAGTGACACATGCTTATATATATAAGCGTTGTAGGAGGTTGAAGTCATTTGTTCTGAAGTTCCATGAATGAAACCTAAACATCTTCACCAGCAATTCAAGGTGATATTGCAGTCAGTGAGGACACCAAAAAAGAGAAAATATAAAGAAAAAGGGTTGGCTACCATCATCCCATTGATATTGCTTCCTTCTCAACTGTGGAAGTAAAGGGATAGATTTAGTATACCAATGTTCATTTAAGTATACCGATTTAATAAATTGACTTTTTTAACCATACAATATTGAGCGATTCAAGCAGTTAGTAATTGTGTATAGTTTATTATTCATCAAGTGTTTGAGAATTAATTAACAATCGGGAAAAATCATTTCAACTTTGAAGTGCAAGATAGTAGGGAAGAAGGGACCTGTTAACTTACTGAGGTCACTTTATTTGGCCATTTGGTTCTCGGAGAAGAAGGGCATGGAAGAGGGAGACAGTACAGGTCCCAGGGAAATTGTAACCTTTTGTCTCCATCATAATTAGTACATGAAAGGAAATTGGGAAAAGAGAGTTTTGGGAGAAAGAAGGGGAAACATTCGTTACATATTCCTCTACCTTTACTTTGTTGCCCTCTTTTAACACCAGTGTTATTTACACTTCCAATTCTATTCCCCTTCAACTTTTCGTCACAGCCAAATGTTTCCAAGTTTATTTTATCCTTAGAGACTCAGTATGTTAATAAGATCACCATGCAAACAGTTGCAACTCTAACTCACTGAAGCATCATAGGCTTCATATTTCATCACAGAACCTCGTCATAAAGCAAAAAGAAAGGGGATCATTTCAGATACTTCTATCAAATAAGAAAGAGAACGGACATGGAACGTCAATTATCATAATTGAAGTACATTACAATTTGACAGCTATCAAAATTGAAAAACATTTAGGTCAACTTAGTCATCTAGCCAATATAAAACGATGTAATTTTCCTTTCCATCAGAAGAGGCGTACCATATGAAACCATCCAAAAATTGGTTTGTTAATCTTTGGATTTTCGCAATCACAATTCTTGCACTTCTTATCTTTCTTCTTGAGAAATTCATTCAGAACATACATAGCTTCGGTAAACTGACAAGAATCCCAGTATCCTTGCTTATTATGCTCAGAGTGGTTTTGTTGATCAGGGTGTAGTTCAGTATCTGATATATGACTCCCTTCACTATCCTCAGGATCATCTAGATAATTCGATAAGACCCCATCCAACTTCTTCTTCTCTTTCATCTTCTGATGTAAATTCAACCGTTTAGCCCCAATAATGTCACCCTCTGATATCTGTTCTAATTGAGTAACACAATTCTCGACCTAGATCAAACAAAATATATTCCCAGTAAATGGAATGAAGTCAAAAGGTAGAAAAATAAAAGCTGACACCGAACTCAAAAGGGTATCTCTACACTGACTTACCTCTCCTCTACTCGATCGAAAATGAAAACAATGGAAACAGGCTTTCTTTAAGAGATTATGCAGCATATTAAATAACAACGGATTGTAGACTGGTGAAACGAGTTCGACATGTCCACAATGACCAGGACAGTGATATGACCGCTGCCCACATGTTTTACATCTGCCCAATTAGAGACAACATGTCATTCAAACATCACAATCCAGAGTTTGATAGTATTTAGAACAATTTGCAACCAGTATTCGGATATCATATACTTACGCAAAGTTTTCATCCAGGGGACCCAATGCTGGATCATAAAGCCCGCCAGGGATTGGCTTCTCCAGAGTGTCAAGCAAATTGGGGTTTATTATCTTCACAACACTGTGGCTCCTGACCTCTTCGTCTGTCATGAAACCAAATTTCACCGCCTCCACAGCTTCCGTCGCAGCCTTACAAACAATTAACCCCCAATATCGTTAAACAACCGCAAAACCATAGCCACGCATATAGTAGTAAATTTTCTACAAATAATGGGTATATAACCGTAATTACACGCGCGAATGTAAGTTTATGCGTACAGAAGAAAAAGAATACCTCAGTTGATTGAGCCATCTCTGAATCTCGATTGTTACAGATATGGAGAAGAATGAAGCAACAAGCTGGTATATGAAGAGAATGAGTACGTCGAAGAAAGAGCTACGTGGGGAAAGAGACTTCAGCGACGCCAGCGTTCGAGTCCAGGGTTTGTCTTAAACCCTTGCGGAAATAGTTTGAGTGAGAGTCCGTGGGGAATTTTAAATTAGGGAAATTTTCAAAATGAGTCCCCAAGCATTACTACAGGTAGCCTTTAGGTAACCATTTAATTTTGTTTGGCGATTAGCTCCCCTGAGTATTAAATTTGGTTTACATCTATTTGTTATGTGACGATATAGAAACATTAAAAAATAGATCCAATTAAATGCAAAAGTATGGAACTCGTGTAATTAAACTTATCATTCAATATCATTTAAATGTGATTATTTATCATCATGATAACAAATAGAATTAATTGCTAGTGCAAGGTAGTCCAATTGGACTAAAATTTCTAAATTTCATATCGGGCGAATAAAAAATGGCCTACCCTGGACCGACCCAATAAAAGTACCCGCAAACTAGTCTGTAATTCAAGTGGACTGATTTTACAAGCCGATAGATGTAAAATTCGATCCAGAATCGATTAAAATGAACGTGTTCAACTTTTGACATACAAAAATAAGGCCCAATTAAATAAAGTTCAATGATTAATAAGGCCCAATTATTAAGTAAGGCCCAATTATGTGAGTGTTTGACACCCATTTTAATGTGTTGAAAATTTTTGGAATAGTGATTGATGGGAGAATGTGTGGTGGAAAAGTGATAAAAAGTTTTAGATTTGTTTGTAATTTTATTTTATTTGGAGAATGTGTGGTTGAAATGAAAAAAGAGGAAAAAAAATGAGAATGAGAATGGATGACAAACAAGGGCTATATGATCCAAAAAATGGAGCTCAGTTAGGGAAATTGAGGAATGTGCCAAAATGAGACCATTGTAAAATATAGTGGCAGCCCACGAGTAGAAGACTATCATCACCCAAGCCTATAGAACACCCATGATTTGAGCGAATGAAGTGTCATAGTGTTACTCAGAACGACGGTCTAACTCTCGCCCAAGCCTTCGAGGTGCCCAAGGTCTGAATTAATATAGCGTTTTGTTCAGTTATTGAGCAACCTTATTACATCCCACGATCCAAGAATCTCGATTACAAGTGGTTTACAACAAGAGCAATAACATAATTGCTAACGGCAGTTCCTTGACAAGTCAGCTATCACGAAGAAAATGGGTAGTTATAGAGCGCCAGCAGTTTCCAAGCAGTTTTACAGAGAAAACCGGCAAAGGAGTATAAAAAGGAAAAGAAGACATAGAAGAAAGCCGAATCAATCACTCTCAACAGAGAATATGTAATTTCAATTCATTTACTTTTCAAGTACAAACTTTCAATTTACTTCATGTGCTTGTGTCCCTTGGAGGCGTTTTGTTTCTTCCCAATTGTAATCTTCGTAAATAAAACACTCATTTTTGGGATTTTGTCTTAAGAGGTTTGTTCCTTACACAATCGTTTGAACCTTTCTCTTAATTGTTAGCGACAATCTGCGCGAAACAATTTGGCACGCCAAGTGGGACATTGGTGTTTGAGGATATGAAAAGTGAAGCATTATGCCTCATAAGAATTCTGATAAAGAACCAGCAAGCCAATGAGTAGTCCATCTGTGATCGAACGATATGAGGAACAGCAAAACTCTCCACGAACAGATAGACAGGGTCAAAGCAGTCAAAGTCACTATGAGCCAATGACAGAGTTGAGTCCTCGAACCATGCGTTCATTGCTTGAGGTACTTACGCAAGATGTCGTTGAACAGGTAAATCTACGAAATGTTCATAATATGAAAAGATTTATCCAAAATGGGAATGCACATTATGACAACATGGCCAAACAACTAAACACATTAAATGAGATCATGATTAAGTTAGAGGGCCAAATATGTTAACCAGTTTTACCAATAGGGAATCACTTTCAAACCAGGACGATTGTGGGACATAATTCATGACAACATGGCCAAACAACTAAACACGTAAAATAAAATCATGAATAAGGTAATGGGCCAACTGTGTCAACCAGTTGTACCAATAGGGAACCATTTTTAAACCAGGACGATTGTAGAACATAATTCCCCACATAATTCCCCAGGTTTGAACCCAAGTCAAGGAATAGAACCACCGTCGGGACCATCTACTTCAAATCGGGAGGGGGGGTAATGGAATGTCAAATTTGAATGGTGGTAATGGGATATCTAACTTGGGAAGAAATACAAAAGATAATGTCCAAGTCACTGGACAGACCCATCGTGTTAATGAGGGAGTAAACACTCAGGCTAACGGTAATAATGGTTTAAATAATAGCGCATTTGTCACAAACCAAGGACCAAACATTAGACCTCAAACAATTCCACCAATTAATCAACCTATAGGAGTCTCATATGATCTCAATGTTATGTTGAAGAATCAAATTATGGAAAGAGTGCAAGATCAAATGGCTTTTGGGGTACGTCTTGTTATTAGGCCAACTTATACAAAATCATATCCTAATTGGGTAGATCAGGCATATCCGTGGCCTAGAGGGTACAAAATACCAGAATTTTCACTATTTACCGGTTTGGGGGAGGTTTCTACTTTGGAACATATAGGGCGATTCACATTACAAAGTGGTGAAGTAACTGACTATCACAAAATGAGATTGTTCCCTAATTCTTTAATAGGAATAGCTTTCTCTTGGTTCATTAATTTGCCAGCAAATTCTGTTCAAACATGGCAATAATTAGAACAATTGTTCCACGCTTAGTTTTATAAGACTGAATCTGAAGTTACTTTGACCGATTTGGCAAATTTACGTCAAATGCCAAACGAATGGGCGAAGGTTTCCTTCAGAGGTTTAAAATAGTCAGGAGCAAATGTTTTTACATTTGTCCGAGAAAGAATTCGTCAAAATCGCTCAAAATTGTTTGAGCTTTGATTTGAAAAAGAAATTGCAGGATAGGAAATTTCCTGATCTTTTCCAACTTAGCGCGAATATGATTAGGTATGAACGATTGATAAGAGGAGAAGAACAAATGAAAAATTCTAGTAAGAGGACTTACTATAGAGACCCAAATTTCGACATTCATACTATTAATGACGAATATGATGATCAGACAGAAGTATGTCTGGCCGAATTGGTTAAGGGAGATACGTACACTTGTCCCATAATGGCCAAGTCCAGGACGTTGGATAAGAATGAGCCTCTAAAAAGTGATAACAAAAAGGTTGGGGTATTCTCATTTGATATGACCAAAGCTGACCTTATATTCGATAAATTATATAAGAATAAGCAGATTAAACTGAGTGACAAGAATAACTTGCCGACCCTGAACAAATTGAGGGTAAAAAATATTGTAAATGGCACAATACTTGGTCATATATGACTAATAATTGTTTGGTCTTTCGTCATGTGTTACAGGATGCCATCGAGTCAGGACGAATCACGTTTGAGGATAAAAAGAAAATGGCAATGGATGAGAATCTTTTCCTACAGTCACTTGGGGTGAACATGGTAACGGCTGGTTTAAAAAATAAGTTACGAAGATTCAAGTTGGTTGTAGATGATGGAGAAAAAGATTATGAGCCACATCCCAGCGTCTTCGAACGTATCAAAGGGAAAGAGCCTAAAAAGGACGGAGGTGTCTTGTGTGCAAGATGTAAAGGGAAAGTGGGTGCACACATGGAAACACCAAGAATATAGCAACATTACCGTCGCCCTGATTTTGTCCCAAATATCCAGCCTGGTGGAGGGTAAGGAACATCATTCTACAGAGGACCGCCTTTTGAGAGACAGTTCAAGCCAATAAACAATGGGAGGACATTCAAGCCGCAACCACGCCAACCAAATGTATGGCATTCATTCCAGTATATTGCATGAAAGGTAATACCTTTCGATGAGATGACTAGAACCCAACAAAGGCGTTTTCAATGAAATTATGGACGAATGATGAGGCAACAACAGGGATTGCCACGTATGTTCCTTCTTTATGGGAAAATGAACAAATAAAGGCATAAATAAATAGCATTGCTGAGCGATCATGACTAAATAAAACAAGAACGAAGTATGTTCAAATAAATTCTTTTATTATCAAATATTCATTACAAACCATGAGATACAAAATACAAGATACTCTATAAGCCACAATTGGGAGCAGGTTGTCATCATTCTTCTATCAACCACAAAGAAAAGGGCGAATTGGCCTTAATCGCCTTCCTAAATGTATTGCTGCAATGGTAGGCAAGAAGGCTGAGAAGCACTATTAGCAAGCAAGTGGCATGAGAAGTACTCGCAACAAGCGATTGCCTCTCATCTAGAACTCCCTCTGAAGAACATAAATGGAGGCGCTGAGAAGACCTTCATTGGCCAAAGAACATTTCACATATCTCTCATACCAAATGTGATATCAAGATAAACAGCTAAATGGATAAGAAATCAAATGATCCATTCCTGTTGCAAGAAGGAAATAGTTGGTTAATTATCTGAAATGTCAAACCATGGCAAGTAAGCTAATTTTGCGGAGGATAAAGATGAAGAAGATGCGTAACACATATGCATTTATAGAGGTGTGAAGGTGAAAAGATGGAATATGAATGGTCACTTACACACATAGTAACCAAAATTCAATGGCCCAAAATCTTGGAAAAGAAGATTGGAATACCAAAAGTTTTACTCCGTGTAAAAATTCCGTGAAGGGAAATGTACACGAGTTTAGCATAAGGTAATTAAATGCTTGGAAGGTTGACGATTGAAGAGGACATCAACTAATACGCAAATAAATAAAATAGTCGTTCTATTAATGGCATTGGCTGCCGTTATATTCGAATCAATAGTAGCTGCCAACACAAAATTACAAAGAAAATAAAGGCATCAATATCTTAGCTACAATTCACCCCAAGCTGAACGCAGTTGTTCCCTAAGCTTCCCCCACTCTTTGCTCTACTTAGAAGAAACAACAGACAAC